AACTTTTTTGCCGGGAGGAGGGGGGGTACTGGGCAGAATCTCACCTCCTCATCCTAGGGTTGAATGCCATGGTGTCATCATAGCTCACATCAACCTCAAACTCCTGGGTTCAAGTGATCCTCTTGCTTCAGTCTCCTGAGTAGCTGGGACTACAGAGGCCCACCACAAAACAACACCCAGCTAGTTTTTCTATTTTTAGTAGTGACAGAGTCTCACTCTAGCTTGGCTGGTCTCGAACTCCTGAGCTCAAGCAGTCCACCTGCCTCAGCCTCCCACAGTGCTAAGATTACAGGCATGAGCCACCTGCACCTGGCATACAAACTTATTTTTATTTTTATTTTTTTTTTTTTTGAGACAGAATTTTTGGTTGTAGTTGTCATTGTTTGGCAGGCCCGGGCTGGATTTGAACCCAACAGCTCAAATGTACGTGGCTGGTGCCCTAGCTATTGAGCAACAGGTCCCAAGTTGAGCACAAACTTATTCTTTCTTTTTTAAAGACAGAGTCTCACTTTGTCACCCCCAGTAGAGTGCTATGGCATCACAGCTCACAGCAACCTCCAGCTCTTGGGCTTAGCCAGTTCTCTTGCCTCAGCCTCTGGAGTAGCTGGTACTACAGGCGCCTACCACAATGCCTGGCTATTTTTTGTTGTTACAGTTTGGACCAGGGCCAGGTTCGAACCCTCCACCCTCCATATATGGGGCCAGCACCCTACAAACTTACTCCCTTTTTTCTTTTTTTTTTTTTGTTACAGTTTTGGGGGCTGGGGCTGGGTTTGAACCCGCCACCTCTGGTATATGGAGCCGGCGCCCTACTCCTTGAGCCACAGGCACCGCCTACAAACTTATTCTTAACAGTGATTAGACAGCAGGCAATATAGTTGAAACATACAGCAGATATCAAAACTGAGTTGAGCTGCCTTTTGACTTCTCCAGGGCCTTGAGTTCACATGTGTGAGCCAGAGTTGACTGATACTGATAACATGATTTAACGCTGGGGTGTTCAGACTGCCTGGGTTCACCCTGCCCCACAGCTCTTGCTGGCGAGTTGAGAGTGACAGGAGCTGACACAGGCTCAGGACAGTGACTTTCCCAGGGTCACAGAGGGATTCAGAGAGCAGAAGGGATCTCTGGGACACAGGTTTAGGAAAACATACTTTTTCCCTTCTCCCTCTCCAGAGCTGCTGCCCAAGGGGAGCAAAGAGGAACAGCGGGATTATGTCTTCTACCTGGCTGTGGGGAACTACCGGCTCAAAGTAAGGCAGAGAGGGCTCCCTTCTTTCCTTCCAGCCTACTGAGTGGTCTATAGTACCTTCTTACTTCTCCAGGGTAGAACCCTGGACATCAGGGCAGGGGATAATGTTGAGTACAGAGGTGTTGAGTGATATCAGACCAGGACTCTGAGGGAAGGTAAGAGAGGATCAGGGCACCAAGGGTGTGGGGAACAAGGTGACGTCAAGATTGGGGTGTAGCCCTAAGCCCTGGGCTGTTATCTCCCCTAGTTTATCACCCCATACACAGTTGGGATTGTTAGTGGACTCTACTCCATTGGGGTGGAGCTAGAGTGAGGGAGCTAGAGGGAGGAGCCCCTAGGGCTTAACAGGAAAGCCCTTTGGGTGGGCAAAGGAGTGATAGAACCCTGGGGTGTATATAACGTGTGTGTATGGTTTTTTTTCCCTGAGTGTAGGAATATGAGAAAGCCTTAAAGTACGTTCGAGGGCTGCTGCAGACTGAGCCCCAAAACAACCAAGCCAAGGAACTGGAACGGCTCATTGACAAGGCCATGAAGAAAGGTGAAAGTCTCATTTCTATTTGTTAAGTCCTCTTCTTTTTTTTTTTTTTTTTTTTGTAGAGACAGAGTCTCACTTTATTGCCCTGGGTAGAGTGCCGAGGCATCACACTGCTCACAGCAACCTCCAATTCCTAGACTTAGGTGATTCTCTTGCCTCAGCCTTCTGAGTAGCCAGGACTACAGGCGCCCTCCACAATGCCCAGCTTTTTTTTTTAATTTCCAGGTTTGAACCCCCTACCCTCGGTATATGGGACCGGCGCCCTACCAACTGAGCCACAGGCATTAAGTCCTCTTCTTTCCCCCATATCTGGACCCTTTGGTTTCTTTTTAAATGACCTCCTTCCAGGAAGTCCCTCCTCAGACCCCCTCTACAACCGTTGGAGGCTCTTGCCCGAGTCTCCTGGTAGGGGTGTACCCTTCTATTGAGGATTAGGGCCAGGGAGAAGGTGATCGGTAGGGTCCCTGCGGGAGTGAGGGCTGGGCTTCTGACAGTGTCCCTTTTCCTTTTTCCAGATGGACTCGTGGGCATGGCCATTGTTGGAGGCATGGCCCTGGGCGTGGCAGGACTGGCTGGACTCATCGGACTTGCTGTGTCCAAGTCCAAATCCTGAGGGAGACTGTACCTCCTCCTCTGCCTACGGTGACATGGGAGACCGTAGAAGACATCTGTCTTAACCATCCCTTTCCTATTCTTCCCCTGCACTCCTGCCACTGCCCTCTGTGACCTTCAACTTCCACTTCCTTAAGACCTGCCCTTCAGCCCCAAATCATGTGCTTTGGGATGAGTGTAAATAAAAGTGGACTGTGGCTTGGGAACCTCTGTCTGAGTTGGGGGTAGGGGAGTCTCACTGGGTGCAGAGGATGGATGAGAGTCATTTGTGGTCCTCCCGCCCCTATCATCCAGGCTGGTGGGGGGAGGTCCTCCTTTGTGGTTCCCAGATCCCACACCCTTCCTTCCTCCCTCCCCTGAAGTCCTGCTTTGAGCAGAGCCTTTTCATTGCCCTAGAATCCTCAGAGGGAGCAGTGACCGGAGAAGGGAAGGGGAGAGCTGAGGACTTAGGCTGGGATTTATGCCTCCCCTCTCCTCTGACCCACTCATCTGCTTCTCAGCTCATGGAGTTTTCCACACCAACAGGGACTCCTCTCAGCTTCCTCCCAACCCTCCACCCTTCCCTCTCTTTGTCTTCCTGCACCCTCCCCTTCCTCCTACCTCATCCTCCTCAGGATAAGGGGGGGCTGCCAGCTGGTGAGGAAGGAAACTGGCATTGGCATGGGGTAGGTGGGGCCTTGGAAGAGGTCGTGAGCTTGGGGTGCTCCAGCTCTGTACTGTGGGATGGAAGGTCAGGACCGGTCCCCACCCAGCCTGCTATGCCTCCACACCCCCCTGTGCCAGGCTCCGAGTGGGCCTGTTTTGCTTCGCTGCATACCTCTCGTTCCACAGCCCAGGCCAGCCCAGCTGAGAGGTAGGGTTGAGACACCTGAGGAGAGCATGGAGCAGGCTGACACAAGGAGGAACAGGGAGGTTACATGTCCAGGCCAGTGATGTCCCCTGTAACTGAGTGTGTAGGATCAGCCCCTCGGGGATGCAATCTAACACTATTTGCCAGAAGAGAACCAGGGCTGTCCTAGCTCTGATTCTAGGGATCAGAAAGTGAAAGTGTCCACACTGGGACAGGTGCTTAGTGCTAGCTGGGGACCCAGACATTTCTTTTTCTTTCTTTCTTTTTTTTTTTTTTTTGAGACAGAGTCATCATAGCTCATAGCGGACTCAAACTCCTGGATTCAAGTGATCCTCTTTCTTCAGTCTCCCAAATAGCTGGGACCACAGGTGTCCATCACAACAACCAGCTATTTTGTTGTTGTTGTTCTTGTTGCAGTTGTTGGCTTTAGCTGGCAGGGCTGGGTTCGAACCCACCTCAGTAGATGTGGCCACTGCCCTGCCAACTGAGCTATGGGCGCTGCTCAACCCAGATGTTTTTTTTTTTTTTTTTTTTTTTTTGCAGTTTTTGGGCAGGGCTGGGTTTGAACCTGCCACCTCCAGCATATGGGGCTGGCGCCTTACTCCTTTGAGCCACAGATGCCGCCCAACCCAGACATTTCTAATTCAACATAATTAATAGAGCTGGTGAACGCTCCTGATAATTCTGAATGGATCAGAGAGCTTAGCCACAGGATCACATTCTGGGCCTGTGATTTACTTTGGGCCCCATTGGCAGCAGGATCAAGCTTGATGCTGAGAGTCAAAGATCAACTCAATAAGGTGGAAATTACAATTCTGGAGGAAAGTGATGCCTTGCTGACCTTGCTCAGCCCTGTGGGGCACTCAGATCCAGGACAATCTCCAAGTATTGAGCAGTTTGTATGTTTGGAGAGCTTAGATCTGTGGTCCCCATCCTTATGACAACCTATGAAGTGAGTAGTGTTATCTCTAGCTTACAGAAGCAGAAACAAGTTCAAACCCCTGCCCAAGTCACCTGGGTAAATGGTGGAAGTCTAGCTCAATCTCATTGGATTGGACTCCAGAGTCATCTGTCTCTCCTAACTTCCCATATCCTCATGCAACCTTAATCTTCCTTGGAGACTCAAATGTCCCAATCCCTAGGTCTTTGAGTGTCTTAGATTGTTCTCTCCTTTCTGAGGGGGTGGCTGTATTCCCTCCATCCTTCCCCACTGAAGGCTGCTTTTGGGCCTGTGTTCATTCTTGATCCTTCTCAGTCACCTTTTCCCCTGTCTCTCTGATCTGTTCCCTGGACCCCATGAAAGCTGAGTCGGAGACAGACGCTTCCCCTTGGCTCCCAATGCGTCCCTGGGGGCCCCTCCTTGGCTGTATTGTCAGTCACTCCCCAGTAAGTCAGCTCCCCCCACCCTCATGGGGCGGGGAGTTGGGGCAGCCCAGAGACTAGGGGGAGGGGATGGACTTTTGGCCCATTTGTTTCGTTTATTCCCTCCATCGTCAACAGCAGCTGCGGTGTGCTGGGCTCACTCCTCTGACCTGCCAGGAAGCAGAGACCCAGAGAGAGGGAGGGAGACAGAAACCTGGAGAAAGACCTGAGGAAGAGGCGGGCAGAGGCTGCGGCAGGACTTGCGTCCTTTCCCTCCCTCCCCAGCTTGCCTTAACACCCCCTACTTAGCCAAAGTTCCTTCAAGTTCCCCAGAGGTTCTACCTTCCCCCTCTCTGGGGCACCGGCCCCTCAGGGCCCTGTTTCCCACCATGTCCATGGCTGTGGAAACTTTCGGCTTCTTCATGGCAGCCCTGGGGCTGCTGATGCTGGGGGTGACCCTGCCAAACAGCTACTGGCGAGTCTCCACCGTGCACGGAAGCGTCATCACCACCAACACCATCTTCGAGAACCTTTGGTATAGCTGTGCTACAGACTCCCTGGGAGTCTCCAACTGCTGGGAGTTCCCGTCAATGCTGGCCCTCTCTGGTATGGGGTGGGGAGAGCTTCAGGGAGCAAAGGGGGGTGGGAGGTGGGAGAGACCCCAGAGGAAGCTGGGTGCTGCTGTAAAAGTGCAGGGGGCTGTGGGTCAAGCTCGGAAGTCCGGGTTTCTGTATCCAGGAGTACTGGGGTTGGGGAACCTGGAACTGGAGCGGAGACCTTGTCACACACGGCTCCCTGCCCTAGTGTGACACTATCTTAAGGGTTACAGGTGCAAGCACCAGAGTCAGACTGCCAGGTGCAACTCTTACCTTTACTGACTCTGTGTATTGGGGAGGTGATAAGATGAGCTTCATCTTAACCCACCTATAAGATTAGGATGGTAGTAGTCCCAGTTCACAGGTGGTTGAAAAAGTACAAAATGTTAATGTAATATTAACATATATGTATGCAACAGAGTTTCACATTTTATTTCTGGGGTGGGATTGCTGGGGTTGGCTGGGTGAGGAGGCCTCATCTCAGATTCTTGGTGGTTGACGCACTTCCATTATCAGTAGCTTCTCCAGGCTGCCACTGGCTGGGATGTTGCTCTCCATGTCTGCTTAGCTCTAAAGGCCCCTTGTGAAGGCTTGGTTCCCAGAAGGTAGGGGTCTTGCAGATCTGAGTGTCTACTATAAGAAGGAGGTGTGTGTGTATGTGTTTGGGGTTCTTAGGACACTGTATTTTCTGAGGTTCTTAGAGGGCTGGAGCCTACAGTTCTTTAGGCCCAGAGCAGCCCTCTCTGGAGCCTGAGGCATCTTACTACTTCCTGCTCACTCCCTGGGACTAGCGTTCACCATCATGCTGGGGGGCAGGGGAGAGTTTCCCTTCGGTCTATCCCATGCCAGAGACCAAGAGGTGTTGGCTGTGAATCATAGGTGGTGCCACTCCCCACCTTCACTAGGTCCTTTGGGGGCAGCCTTTTCTTCCAGTACCATGCTGTAGGTATCCAGTGGTGGGGAAGGAACTGAGACAAACAGTGGGTATGAAGTGGGGCTGCTTGAAATTGCCCCCTCGAATGTCAGAGACACTCTAAGCAGTTACAGGTCTGGGTAGGTCTCTTGGGCCCCCACTAGTCCCAGAATCTCCAGACGTAGTGACCAGGGCTGTGTATTCCATCCATCTCTCCAGGACTAACTACAGGGCAATCCCCACCACCCCCAACCCTGTAAAGGCTGAATACAATCTGGGCCAGAAGCCCAGAGTGCTGGGTGGCCAGAAGTGACACTGGGGACAGCTGCTCAGCAACCCAGGCCAGCCCCATGATAAATACCATGGTGCCAGGAGGGCCTTTGCTATGAGCCTGTGTACCTGAAAGGGGCCCCACTTGGAACTGCTGCTCTTGGCCTTAGAGAGGGCATAGGTGTGCATGAAAGACAGGTGCCAGAGCCCCAGAGGACAGGGTCAGAGGGGAGCAGATTCCAGGCCTTGTGCTAGGTACTGCTACCTACATATTTTCCTGATGTCTACAATAGCTATGCTGTTGGGGATGGCAGCAGGCAAGGCCTCCTTTTATAGAAGCTGCAAAAAAATTGGCAAGGTTAGACAACCTGCCCAGAGTCCCACAGGTGGTAAAAGGAGGAGCTGGAATTCAGACGCCATGGCTGGTTGTAGTCCTGAGGGGGGATTGTGGCCATCATTTGATCATTTCCCAGCTGTGTACCACGACCCCTACCCTCTCAGCCTATCTGCTCCGAGGCCTATCCATCATCTTCCTTTGCTGGAGCTACCTGGGGATTCAGGGCTGGGAGCGGAAGGCCAGAGGGAGTGGCAGAGAGTGAGGATGTGCTTCCAGAGAACTTTGTCCCTCCTTCCTACCCCCCAACTCGCCACTTCACCTCCTCCTGGCAGGAACCCCAGACTTTCCCCTTCAGCACCAATGGTACAGCCCCACCCAGGAAAGGGGTGCAAGGTCCTTGGGAGTGCTTGGCAACTATCACAGACTGAGAAAGGAGGAGAGGGCCAAGGAGGGAGCCAGCAACTTCCCTCAGCTTTGAGAAAGGAGAACGGAGGCACTGAAAGAATTATGAGCTGGGCAGTGCCTGTGGCTCAGTGGGTAGGGTGCCGGCCTCATATACTAAGAGTGGCGGAGTCGAATCCGACCCTGGCCAAACTGCAACAAAAAATAGCTGGGTGTTCTGTAGTCTCAGCTACTCTGGAGGCTGAGGCAAGAGAATCACCTAAGCCCCGGAGTTGGAGCCCTAGAGCAACAAAATGAGACTCTGTCTCTAAAAAAAAAAAA